CTACCTGAACTAACAGGCTTTCCATAGAGATCACTGGATATCAGTTATACATCAGTATCCCTTGAACTGGCAGTTGGGTCAAGGAGACACACAGGCCCCTGTGCCTCTGAGAACACTCATCCTCAGCACCCAAAGGGTTTCAAGGGGGCCCTGGCCACCATGGTGCTGAAATTCCCTGACAGCATTTGTCTAGCCAGTCAGATGAGGGGCATCCCAGTGACAGCTCTGCTGTTAGGAACTCTGTTAGGAACTAGACATATTGATATCATTGCACAAAGCCAAGGACAGTGAATCAAAAGAAACTTGGGGGGCGGGAGTGGCAAGATAGCTCAATGGCTAACAGCACTTGCTGTTAATGCAGAGAACCTGGGTTCAGCTCCCAACACCCACATGGTAGCTCACAACCATCTGTAACCATATTTCTAGAGGGATCTGCTGTCCTATTCTGGCCTTTGTGGGCACTGCATGAAAACAGTACAAATATATATTCAGTACCCTTCCAATAATTATAAAATATTTTTTAATTAGAGGAAGTAAATTTGGTTCTACTAAAATCTGGATGGTTTGACATATTTTCCCCCAGAAAGTCCTGTTTAAATCTTAACTTCTGATACCTGCGAAGGTGAAGTCATTTGGAAAGAAGGTTTTTGAAGATGTTCTCAAGATAAGAGGAGGTGATATTGGATGAGGATAGTCCTTTATCTAACAACTGGTGACCTTGTAGGAAGAGGAAAATGGAATAAACATATTGAGCCCCTGGGATGGAGGAGGCAGCTTGGAGAATGCTCTCACAAGGCAAGGGGGAATGGAGGGGATGGCCTGGAGGATGCTCTCACAAGGCAAGGGGTGGAGGAGGCAGCCTGGGGGATATTCTCACAAGGCAAGGGGGAATGGAGGGGATGACCTGGGGGATATTCTCACAAGGCAAGGGGGATGGAGGAGGTAGCCTGGAGGATGCTCTCACAAGGCAAGGAGTGCAAGACTGCCAACAGCAGCCACCAGGTAAAAGAGGGGCAGTGATTCTGCTTCAATAGCTGCAATACAGTAAGTCTCTGGGTTTCCCCCATGGTATTTGAAATATTTGTTTACATTTGGTACGAAATATTGAACATATTCCTGGGATATAATGTGATGTCATGCAATATGATTTTTCAATACACAATATAGAATGATCAAGTCAAGGTAATTATCTACCACCTCAAATGTTTTTCACTTTTATCTTAAAAAAAAAAAGAAAAATGTGAAGTTGGGAGACATGGGTGTGGAGATCCAGGAAGGTGGGACGTGCTGCAAATCTGGTCAAAATACATCGAGTACTTATATGAAATTCTTAAAGAATTAATAGAGGTATTTTTCATCTTTTGTAATAACACTCAAGATCTTTTCTAGTACTTTCTGATGCTTTAGATGTCTATCTTGCGGTAGCTTGTATAACAGCCTTAAGAAGCCAATTAAATACAAGAGGCAGAAAGCCCATAAGCTTCAGATAACGCATGTGAGTTTCAAGATCTCAGGAAAGTAAGAGGGATTTAGGCTTTGAAGCAGGCAATTGGCTGGACAGTGGTGAGCCACCCAAACAAGACCACATGATGAATGGCAGAAGAAGCCATAAAGGGTGGGGACATGGGCTTTGAGCATGAGGAGCTAGACAAAAAGGTGATGTCTTGGCTCATCACCAAGGAGTTGATGTGGGCCAGAAAGGCACTACTCAAGCAAACCCTGATACCTCTGAATGGCAACAAGTGCTGCACTCACTGGTTTATCGTCAGTGTCTAAGCAACATTGTGTTGAGCTTCCTGTCTCCAACATGGCATTTTTACCTCACTGTATTTCCATATTCTACATCAGACAGTGGGTGCCACAGGAAAGGATCTGCCAGCCTCTTCTGGCCTCTATATATAGCACTTTGGCCACCATTTGGAAGGTGCTGAAGCTCTCATGATGGATGACACTCTGCTAAAACGGTTACATTCTGAGTTAGAACAAGAAAGGCACTTCACATAGCGCGTGAAGACGGGAGGGAAAGAAGTATTTATGGCCCTTCATTTCTGATGCTGATCCTGCTCCCATATGGCCCTGGGAAATACATGTCTGCTACAGCAGAAGTCAGGATTGGAAAGCCCTTGTGCAATGTCTTTGGAAGATTGCTAGTGGTACTTGGTGGATGTATCCTTCCTAATTCCAGGCACATTAGTAGCTGGATTCATCTCTAGAGAAAATAAAAACACAGCCTTGTGACACAAGGCCACTTCCTGGTGCCATTAAATCAAGTGTGGTTCTGCACCAGGTAAAACATTAATTCTGAAGATGTGGCCATACACCTTTAAAGAAGTTTAGTGTGGACCTGACCAAATACAGCATCAATGTTCAGATATAACTTAGTAAGTAGAGATGGGCTGTGTTAAATCACACTCAGAGCATTTATAAAAAGATTAACATTTTAATACATTATCCCAGAACATGCTGTACAAGCACCGGGAAAATTGCAGTTGTCAAAGTGCGAATTTAGTCTCTGGGTAAGTTCATCCAAGGAAGTAAAAACCTCAATTTAGTTTTTTTTTTCTTTAGTCAACTTTCCTTCGCCTCTCTTGTTCCCACGTGTTTCTTTTAGACTGGGGGAGGACAAGTTACACAGTAAATGTAATTCATGCAGAGAACTGGGTAGGATATTTTTCAGGAGAAAGGAAGTGAGGAGCTTACCAAAATGGCTTGTAGAGCTCTCAGGGGGCTAAGTGTCAAAAGATGGTTAGTGTGTGTGCATTTGTGTTTATGCCTGTGTGAGTGTGCCTGTACATATACTTGTGTTTTATTTAAAATACTTTCTTTATTTTTATTTTATTTTATTTTCTGTATATATGGGTGTTTTGACTGCATGTATGTCTAGACACTATGTATGTCCCTGGTGCCCCTGGAGGACAAAAAAGGTTATTGGGTCTCTCAGAACCAAAGTCACAGATGGTTGTGAGCCACCCTGTGGCTGCTGGGAGTCAAACCCAGGTTCTTTGCAAAAGCATCCTGTGCTTTTAAGTGCTGAGCCATCTCTCCAGCCCCCACTTGTCTTTTCTTTAGCAAGGCTGTGCATGGAGCTAAGGAAGTGCTCTATCACTGAGCTCCACCCTCATATGTCTTTTGATAACAAGGGGATTTTTTTCTGGCAGTTTTCTATTGACTTCTCAGTTTTCTACCTGCCTGTGGTGGTGGGTCGTTGAAACCCCCAGGCTGACAGCATATCTTACCATATCAGCAGCAGAGGCCCAGCCAGCTGTTTGGCATCCCAAGATGGGCCAGGTGGGAGTAGTGGCGTGAAGTCAACCTGAAGGCTAGATAACGGGAATGGAGGCCTTGCACCCAATGGCCAGCTTTGCCAATTTGAAAGTAAGCGGTACTCCAGGGCAAGGCGGACAGGCTGTCCTCAGTATCAAAGCAGCAAGTGGGCTTTCATTTCAGAACCCATCTGGTGTCCCAGGCCATTCTATCAAAAGCAGCTATTTTCTTTAAATTGAAAGTCAAGGCCATTTATTTTTCTCAAAACCTGTGCTGTCAGCTCTGCATCCCGGCTGGAAACATTTGCTTGTTCCACACAATGGCAAAGCTGCTTTGTCCTTAAACAAGGTGGGGCACTGTCTCTGAGCACATCTTGTGAACGGTACATTTACATAAATCCTTGCCCCAAGAGCACATGTGCATCCGTTAGAATATATTATATTTAGAGAAAACTTATTCGGAGGGAAAGAGATGCCAGAGCAATCCTTCAGTTAGGACCTTGCATGAAAATAAATCTAGTCATATGGCACATTCCTGTCATCTCTGTGCATTTCCATTGAGCACTTGAAGTTTTCCTGATGGAGGGCAGTTTACCTTGCCTGAATTCCCGAAGTCGTGAATCAGTAACTGCTTGAGTGCCCATCATTGATGCTATATATATGGATAGGCCTGTGCTGCTTAATGACGAGGATATACTTTGTGATGTGCGTGTTTGGGTGACTTAGTATGGTGGGAGCAACAGATAATCTAGTTAATAAAGTAGGATGGCTGGCTATGCTGCGTCTGCGCACTGTATTGCCGTAAGACTCCACAGTGTGTGGCATCTGTCACTGAAAGGATGTCTCTATGTGGCCCATACATACACCACATATGATTGATTGGATATGAGTGTGCAGCTGCAGTTTTAGGGTGGGGCCAGGCTGGGTGACACTTGCCTTTACCTTAAGAACTTCAGGGAGGTCCACTCATTTTGTCAATGTAGCAGCAAATTCATTTATTACTTAAAAATTTCCTCCAACTAGACGGAATTTGAAGTGTCTATGTAATAGTTCCTCAATTAAATTAGAAGGTAAAATTACCCAGGCAAGATGTCCTTGGCAATTATTTTGTCTGTGATACTGTAAGATTCTGAGATGACTCCCAGGACCCCCAAAAATAAATCATTCTGAAAATCATAGCATTTTACATGAATTCTCCCATTTATCAGTTACCCCCCCCTGCTTTATCAATCACCAAGGTCACATTTAGTTCATTAATGGAAGGAAGCACCATCCTGACACGCCACAGATGTTAATGACATATAAATTCCAGTGTACTTCAGGGAGAGGGTACCAAGCCATTTTCTCAGGAATTAAAGAAGCCACATGAAAGCCAGCTCTGGAAGCATACTCAGTGATTTTATGATTACAAATCCATCCACTATAAATTTTTTAAGGAAAATATATAATTAAAAGTGTAGAAATCCACACTGTGGCTCTCTGTAAGGCATCAGTTTAGTTATTAAATAGCTATAAATTTGAATGTATTCTTCCAAATGGATTAACCTTTTCAATTATCATTTCATCTGTTTTCTATATTTAAAAAATCAAAGAAATTCAAGATATAGGAAAGACAAGGCAGGAGAGGATCTGAAACTGATTTGGTGGCTTTGGAGTTGACATAATCTTGGCCTGGTGCAGTTCATGTTGGAAAGCTGCCTCAAATTTCCCCGGGTTTTGAACTTTTTTTTTCCTTACCACTTTCATCTAGCAAGAAATCATCCTGGTAACGGAACTTCTCTGGTCCACATGCAATAAAAATGTCATCGTCACCAAAGAAGTCCTGAAGGCACATCACCTACAAGAGAAAAGCATGGTACTCAGCCAGGGGTCCGCACAACAGCAATCACACCCCCCGCCATAGACCACTGCATAAAGCCATTTCCCTCTAATGGAATCAACAGGGGGATTTCAAAGGCTTGGCTCCAGCATCTGTTATTGGTAAGGAATGCGTTAGTCTCAGGTTTGCAGGAAGGCAGAGAAGGCAACTAGCCTCAGTAACTGTCACATTTATGACTGGATACATCAACAGGCTATGAGGCAAGAGCTCTTTGTTTCCATAACACCAGGGATTCAGCTACTCAGAGCAGCCCCCCACCCCACCCCATCCCCAGCTTCTGAATGTAAGTTCCAACAGCAACAGGCGCCAATGCATGGCTTTAACAGCAGACATGCTTTTGTTGATAACTGATGGCATTGTGTGCTCACAACAATCATTAAGAAAAACAGTATATTAGAATAACCTGTAGACCCATTCCATCTCTAGTTGAGATAAACCCTTGTAAGAGGAATAATTTGAAAAAGGGGGTTCTGGTGAGGTTTAGATATAGACACTAAAGAATCTACGTTCGTCTCTCATGTTACATTAAACACTAAAACTCTCAGAACCCTACACCCAATTATTTTTCAGTACTGGGGATCAAGCCCAGAATTTGTAAGCATTAGGCTGACACTCAGCCACTGAGTTGTGTCTCTAGCTTGTTTGTTTGACACAGAGTTTTGCTATATACCTAGAGCTAGCCTTGAACTGTCCATCCTCCTGCCTCGGCTCCTCTAGTGTTAAGATTATAGCCTGGAGCCATCATGACCTTTTCCTACCAATTTCTCATTGCAGGATAAAAACAATTTAAACTAGATATGGTGGCCTGTGTCTATCATCTAAGCACGGGGGAGGCTGAGGAAGGAGGACCACCAGTTTGACTTGAAGGCCAGTCTGAATATCACAGTGACATTCTGTCTCAAAAACAAATAGAAGGACTTCATGCAGTCTATTCCCAAATGAGAACTTTAAGGTAAATGTCACTTTGCAGTGAATTGTGGTCGGGATGACTCATTTTCAAGCTTGAAGATGCTTCTACAATGATTTGTTCATAATATGGGTTATGCTAATGCTGGAATGCCGCTGAACCCTATCCATTCCCAATTTCCGTTCACTGTGTGGGCGAATCCTAAGGTGACTCTACTCTGCTTCTCTATAGCTGTAAAACACTGATCAAAACAAAATGGAGGAAGAAAGGCTTTATTTGGCTTGCAGGCTACAGTTCATCATCAAGAACCTGGAGGCAGGAACTGAAAGAGGCCGTGGCAGAGCGTGCACCCTTGATCTCAGGCTCATGTCAGCTACCTTTCTTAATTATTCCAGGGCCACCTAAGGGTGGCACTGCCCAAGGTGGGCTGGGTCCTATGGGATCAATTATCAGAAAATGCCCCACTGTCATGCCCACAGGCCAAGCTGATGGAGGCAATTCTTCAACTGGGGGTTCCTCTTACTAGGTGTATCCAGTTGACAACAAAACTCACCAGGACAGAGCTGTGCAAAACAGCCTTTTGAATGGCATTTTCCTCTGAGCACACCAAACAACAGGTGTGGAGGGTGAGATGCTAATGCCCTGATGTTATCGTCAGCATCTCCATCATCTTCAGTTCAGCCATGAGTGCCTGTGGGGCTTTGTGTCTTTGTCATTCTTTAGTATTGCTACTGTGTCACATCACACAAGCTGTGGGACTCAGAGCTATGAGTTCAGAGAATATGGCATTGTCTGCAGCCCCAGGTGCAATGGCATGTGGGCTACCGAGGGTCTCTCAAGACGTCTCATTTCCAAATAATGGCTTGGCTGCAATTTTTTAGAGTAAATTTCTCCAGTGGTTTGATGATCAACATTAGTATGAATCATATGTATCCAAGTGTTTTTTTTTTTCCTGCCATCTAAAGCTTGAGGGTATAGATCATTTAAGAGGAGGGGGACCCAAGGGTTTCATCACAAGCATGATATTAGAATGACCAAATTTTCACTTTATAAAGAAACTCTTGGATGGCAGAACTGTCCTCCACACAACTCTCATTACAGTTCTGATCTCACTCATCTTGACATCCCAGGTTCCTCTATGAGTGTTGATGTCATCTAGCCAAACATTCACAAGGCATATCCCTTTAATATGTATGACTTTTTAATAAATGTGTGGTAGGTGTAAGCTAGCTCATTGGACAAACATACAAATAATGAGTTAGGCGGGGCTCTCCCTGAGGTAAAACTGAACACTAGCCCCAAAGTGCAGTATGTCCTTGAAAAGTAGGTGGTGACTAGAACTTGTACCATTGGAGGTCCCACGTCCAAATGTCAGGTTGAGTTTATTCAATGTAAACATGTTCATGTTTCTGAACTCCAAATAGTCTTAGTGTGTTATAGTGTACCCAAGTTCAAAGAGGAGAAGGGGAAAACTGAGATCCTTGAATTTGGCTCTAGAACTGTTTCTTCCATAGCAGCATGCATACAGTGTTCCCACACCCCTCTTGGGACATGTATGAACAGCCACAGGTCAAACATCTCAGAAGCCAGGCATATTGGCACACACGTGGTGCAAACCAACTAAAATAAAGAACTCAAGGAATGCACAGGGGAGAACTATCGGGCCACTGGCTCCCCCAGGCAGCCATGTTTTGATAGCAATAGTTAAGCATCAGTTTATTTTCTGAAACTTTAATGATGGGCCTATAGGGTATCAAGTTCTGAGCCAAATACTATGCTTTTTTAAAAAAAAAATCGGTGATTGGGGGCTGGGGAGATATAGTTCGGTCTATAATGTGCTTGTTGCACAAACACAAGGACTCAAGTTTAATCTCTAGAACCCATGGTGTTTTGTTTGGTTTTATTTTTGTTTTAAAAGGGCCAGGTATAGTAGAATTTATAATCCCTATGTTGGGGAAACAGAAACATGTAGAGCCTAATTGATAAGCTTGAAAACATGATTGAGGATACTCAAAAAGTAATGGTACCTAAAGATACTCTCTGGTCAAAATAAATATGTACATATACACACAAACATGCTCGAAAATGTACTCATATACAAAATTTCTTATAGCTCAAAAATGTTGTATTTCAAACTCCTTCCTTTCTACATATTCCACCATTTTTGTTACAGGATATCAGGTGATTACTCAACCACATTCATCTGTGTTTGCATGCTTTTACTAAGTGGGTAGATAACCACCACAACTACTGCATGTTCTAAGTGTGCATCCAGCCTTCTGCTGATGACCATTCTCCAAGCCTGAGACTCAAAGAACACAGTAGACAACAAATGATACATCTTGGACGGTTTAAGCACGATTCTGTTGGCAAGTGGGAGATGAAACATGACGAACTTTTGATGTTCCTTCCAACACCAGGGTTCCAAGAATATGAAAAGTACATAGTGATTGCTAAAGAAATTATCTGTCATCGCACAGCAGAAAAGACATGGGAAGAAGTCATTCCAATGTCAAGTAATATGTACTCATTTACTGCCCAAGCTTCAGTGAATGGAATCAATGAAAGTGTTGAACTGCCTGACACTCTGGGGGTTTTCAAATGAGCATCGTTTCGCCTCTCCTGCTTACAACAACCCACTGGAAAATGGCAGTAAGCTCCATAGATGAAATTTTTAAAAACAAAACCATTCCTCATGAGATGCCATGATAAAAGAGCTGAGAATGAAACAGATTTAGGTTTATTTTGAAAGGAAGGTGGATTGGGGAAAAAAATGTGCATTTCTGTTACCCATACTCTCATGGGTTGAGAACCATTGTAATGTAGTTTATCCAACAGAAGAAGAGTAACAGGAGAGTTTATAACCCATTTCCTCTTGGAAAATGCAGTGTGGGAATTTTCCTTGAGGTCTTTTTGAGCACTGTGGCACCATGGAGTTATAGAAAGTAGAGAAATGTAGAACAAGTTTTGCATGATAATCTGATCTTATATCTGTGAAGTGTTAATCACTTTAAAACTTGATGTACTCAAAACTCAGCTTGGTTACCAGCTTTAAAATACAACTTACATTTGAGGGTAAGGAACATGCTTTGTGCTACAGGGGACCATGAATACAGACATCTGCCACAAAATCTCTGCTCAGGTGTGGTCAGAAATATCCACCAAGATGGCGCAGATGTAAGAGAGATAACAAGTTTGAGGAAGGACGCATACCCAAACTGTGAAGACCTCCTGTCCAAGCCTTCCTGTTTCACTGGCAGCATTGTCCTACTTATACCAGTTCTCCAAGAGCTGGGATGTCACTGTCTGTTCTTCCCCATTCTTCCTCTGACTGTGGACAGTCAACATCTGCAACATCTCCAAGTCCCAGGCAACCCCAGCCCTCCTCCCTAGAGCTGCCATCGTCCTATCTTCCCAGAGCCCAGGAACCTCCTCCAGGGACCTTGGCAAAAGGTCCTTATAGAAGTCCAATTCCCTTCCTTTCTCTTCAATCCATTCTGTTTAATTTTGTCAGTCTGCCATTCCATAGTAGAATTTCAAATTCTCTTTCTGGAGCTCAGAAACCATCAATGGCCTATCGTAATCAAATAAATATCTGTTTTTTGGAGCTGGCATTCCAGATGCCCTCACATCTGTCTCCAACTCTACCCACCAGGGCCACCAGTGTCTGGTGAGTAGTAAACATTAGATGGTTGGATGGCTGGGTGGATGGACAGTTTATGCGCTAAAATGTATGCGTTTCAGTTGATTTTATTCTCTGGAAATGGGCTTATTCTTCCTACTTGCATGCTTTCTCTTCCATAAAAATACACCTGTTTTGAATCCGCTTTCACCTAGACTTGGTCTAAGTCCCTTCTATAGACCAAGGCTTGATTGAGGGTTCAAACCCTACCTTTCCCCATTCTGAAGCCATTGTCATCATTTAATAAATGTTTGTGGACCACTTATTTGATAGTCTCAAGAACATGTGATCTCATCTTTTCTCTCTTCTTTTTCAGTCTGTGAGCCTATAGACACAAAGTCCTTATAACTCCCAACACAGTGTTTGTTG